TAGTGTGGCCTTAGCTTAAACTATTTGACTCACAATGAAAAAACTGTTGGTTTTAACAGAAACAAGAAGATTTTTTTTTTAACGCGTTTGAAGCTGAGAGCTTCAAGTGTCTTTTGCTGTGCCAAATACACTTTTTATTTCCTGTGCTTGGTTAGAAAATGTGGAGTTTTTTTAGCTGAATAAAAAATTACTTACTAAGATTTGGTAAGCTGGGCTAGGAGCTGTCAAAGGGTCTGGTGTATACAAGTGTTTTTCAGGTGAACACTTTAGCTAAGCCACATTTTGATATTTTCGATGTGCTTTCAAGTAACTTACTACAGTTTATTTTTTCTCAGTATTTGTGTGGTGTGTACTTAATGAAAAGGGTGGCTTAGCAGTCTGTGTACACCCCAGGGCCAGCTTCAGTTAGACTGTTAATTTTACTGTTGAGTGTCTTTTGGGTCATAGTATTTTTTTTTTTGTTGGTCTGTCAAGACAGGATGGGAGAAATGGGTTAATTCTGTCTCCTGCAGCTTGTCCTGGTTTATTAGTGGGAGTGGAAGAAAATGCACATCTCTGAGATCATGTGCATGTAGAAGTCACTGTAGCTCTCAATTTCCAAATCCTGTGTTCTGTGCGTCTTCATTACTATTCTTTCAAACCTGTCCTTTTAAAATGATTAGTATTTAAATAGTTAAATTTGAGAAATGAAATCACTGCCAAAATGTGTTGCTATTGCAATAAAACAGTGAAATAAGCCATCACTTATCAAATTGCCTCAAAACTGTGTACTAAAGCTTGTGATCGACAAGCCAGTGGCTCAGACTGTTGCTGCATGCGTCCTGTAAATCTGCGTAACTGACTAGACTAGCTGGTCGATAGGCCTGATGCTTGCTTTAAGAAGTTGGTATTAAATAAAATAGTGTAGTGTCAGCTAAGAGAATACATGGAAGCTGTTCCCTTACCACACATAATAGCCACAAGGTTCTTTTGTTTGCCCCCTATTTTCCCCATTCACGTGAAAGCGGGAAGCGATGGCTGTTTCCGCGTACCTTGTGAGCGTTTGGAGGAGCCTGAGGGTTACCCTGGCTGGAGGACAGCAATGAGCGTACAGCTGCACTGTTTTAATATCAGGTATTAATCTTTAATTCCACATCACAGCAGTTGAGTGAATGGGTAAGGGAAAGAAACCTCAAACAAACAGCAGATATTTACATCTAAAATTCACACCACTTATTTGTTGGTTCTGGAAACATGCTATCACAATATATACATTTAAGTACCTTTAGGACACTTGTACAAATTATTTTTTTCCTTTTAAATTTGATTTCCATTATAGATAAGATAGCTGTTTTCATTTTATTTTAAACATGAATACACAAAAGAGAAGTGGTTAGAGGTTTTTGCCTTTTTTAAATAAGCACAGAATGCCAGAAGTTAAAAACACATTTACAGGGCAGAATACCAGTCAGACATCACAATCTATACATTTTTTGCTCAATTTCCTGTACAAATACACAGCATTCAAATGGGGGTATTTACAAAGAAGCATGATCAGAGGAAATTTGAAATATCGCATAATTTGTTTCCCAAAGGCTCTTGCTCTCTCCAGCCTCCCCAGTTTCGGCTGATTCTCCCACAGAAGGGATATGCAATATCCCTTACCTAAAAAAGGGTAAGTAAGCTAAAAAACAGAGGAAAAGACAGAAAAGAATCTTAGTCTTGCACACGGCAATAATACCAACCCAGCCACTGGAAAAAAAAAAGTAGGATTCAGAGAAATTGTTTGAATTGCTTTTCTTCTGCTACTGTAGTTTCTTCTCAATTTTGTTTCAGATGGGGACAGCAGGTAACACTGATGAGGGAGAGATTTGCAGCAGAATTCCACCAATTTTCTCAGGAATGCACATGCTATTTTGTTATGCAAAGAAAACCCAATGAAGGCAAGTACATATTAAGTTTGAATTAGAGTTAAATACAGAATGACAAGGTCCTGTTCAAACCGTTCTCCTGCTATGGTTTAAACAAGGAATATTCAAATCCTGCTGGGAAAGTGCAACAAGTGCTGTTGCTTCCACCTATTCCAGGACTGAGCTTGCTGTTGGACTTGTACTATGCTTAAGACACCCCACCCTACAGAGAAGTATTAGTTCCAAGAAGTATTAATTCCAACATTCACAACATCTTAATAATAGTCTATCTTCTGCCCCCTTTAAGGCAAGCACTGAAAAGGGAGACAGAATACTTGATAGATACCAGAACAGTGACAGAAATTTAACTCCAGAGAGGCTTAAATTTGGTAAATCCGGCAATTTACTCCATCCTTCTCTGTGTGGACCTGCCGTAAACTGGGTATTTGTATTTATCATCTGACTGATCTTCAAACCCTTACAAATACGTAGTAATGTCAGACTCCCAAAAGGGACTCACTGCTGTTGTGCAGTGTCTCTAGTGGGCAGGTTTTCCAGCTGACTGGGACTTAGTCCCATGTTAGTTGCATTCTTGTTCCTTCCTGCCAAAAAAAAAAAGTGGGGGCAGGGGAGATGGAATTGAATAATTAGTTCTCTTAAAAACTTTGCTTGAAGAATCTCAGTCAGATTGGAGAAATAGCATATGAGAAAATATTTTGCTTATTTCTAAGGAATTACATTGACTTACCTTTACTGAAAACGTATTTCTGAGTTGAGTTTTCATACATGTGCTCTGTACCAGAGATCCATCTTGGTTCATTAACAGTTAGGACTGTCCTAGTATTGGGAAACTCTCCTTCCTGCTAGAGATGAAATGTCCGCTCTAGGCTAAGTTTTTATTATCATTGTCTTGATTGTGAAGGATATAATGATTACAAGCAGCCTGTGTTAGTAACAAAATAGAGGAAGCAAGAGAGACTTTGTTCCAGCCAAATAGGCCATTTAAGAAACAAATCTGTAACTTAGTAGTTTTTGCATGGGCTAGAGCTTGAGAAAGGAAAATTAAAAAATCCAAACCCCAATCCTCTTAAAAATCCCCTTCATACAACTGCTGAGACCAGACTTTGTACAGACAGAGCATCTTTAGGAGAGTTCAGAAGCCATGTACTCTGCCCAGTCACTGTATTTAGAGGTAGTGCTAAAGGTGACCTGTAAAAGTTTTGCAATATCCTTTTTCGCTTCTTTATGCTGTTTGTAGTGTGAGAGACTGAGTGGTTAGGGCAAGAATTGACAATGAAAGTTGAGTGCTATTCTTGTTTCTGACACTAATTTCTACGGTGGAGGTAAGTCTCTTATTTGAATGTGCTTCAGATTTTTTCAGTGGCATCAAAGAGGGTGGTCTGTCACGACCTCTGGAGTGTGCTTTGCTGTCTGCAGGTGGAAGGGGTTGTCAGGGAGGCTAAAATGTGTGTGGGCATGGTAACGGGAAGCAACATTGCTTGTTTATCTAAAATCATCAAATATTTGATACTCTTGGATTGAAAGTTTCTTGAAAAATACTGATAATAGGAATAAAAGATTTCTTCTTTTCAAAGAACAGATCTTGGCTCTATTACCCACAGAATTTTTCCTGGTTTGTACTGAACTAAGCAAACACTGATTAAAAGGCTTGTTTTGTGTTCATAGACTTGTACTGTCTTCACCGCTGCATAATGCTGTTTCTTGTGTTTTGTTTTTTATTTTTTTTTTTAAAGTTCTTCAGCCCTTTCTGGAGCTGGTCAATTAAAAACAAAAAAAAGTGGTGGTGGGGGAAGGCTGTATTGCTGCCTGAGTAGAAAAGAAATCAACCTTCCAGAAGAGAGAGGCAGCAGCTCTCAAAGCTTCCTTACACATTCTAAAGAAGCAAAAGAGGAAACGAGCATTTGTTCTTTACAGGTTGCCTTTAAGATCCCTGACTCTAAGGTGTACACTATGTACTGGGCCTCTCTCGAATCTTAGTGTTTTCTGTCTACTGTGAGAGAGGGAGATTCTTCCTGCGCACCAGCTGCAGTGAGTTTTTGGGAGGGACTGAGGACATTATGTTAACAGGGAATCGATCTCAGCTCCTGGGTGATGGATGTTGGTGAGAATTGTGATGTTCGGCCCTGAGGCAAGGATGTTGGGTGTGATGCATTTAAGCCACCTTTTCTTTGCTGGCTGGGTCACCAACCAGCTGTGGCATGAAAAACTCAATTTATTTTTTTTTTTTTTTTTAAACTGGAGTAGAAATGCTGGTGTCAACAGCCTGCCCAAAGTTGGGCATGGGAAAGGCCTACAATTAGGTTGCAGCTCCAATGGCTACTAACCTCCTCTCATCCTGTAGCGCAGATGAATAGCATATGATTCCAATGAGAAAGCAGGTTGGTTTAGCCAGTGAATGCAAAGTCTTAAGAAATCAAACAGGACGTAAAAAACAAAGGAGGCAGAGTTTGTTGGAAATGATATCTTGGAAATCAGTGCATCTGCACTGGTTAGATTGCCTCAGCACCTATGAACCAATGCAGGGAGATCACTGCACAGATATGTACAATCCTGCTCTCAAAAGAGCCAATTTCTTCTTAGAATTGCCAACTGTCCACTGCCTGCAGCTCATGCACCTTCCAGCCTGACAGTTTGTAGAATCCCTGATTTCAGCAATGAACTTTCACTTCTGTACAGCAAAGAAATAGGTCCCTAGTGCAACTGCTTCTACTCATGTGCGTCTCAGAACTGGGAGGAAAGCAGTTTCAAAATCAACTTGCCTCATTCCCCCCTTTCTCCTCCTCCGCTTAAAATTGTATTTTCCACCTTCTGCAAGTCTCTATGGCTTTTGTGCCATATGACGTGGTTAAGAAACTGCAGAAGGAATAATAAACTGTCCACTGCACAGAAAGTTAAAAAATGTAACGGAAAGGTGTAAAAAGAAATTAAAAAGGAAAGGAGCAACCTCCCATGCTGGCCCAATTGCTTTTGTGGGCTCCAGACATAAACTTGCGGCAGTAGAGAATCGGTTTGCTGTTCCCCGAGTCCTTATCTCTCTCCTTTGTAGTCAGACCTGGAATGGTGATGCAAGCTGCTTACCAGGAGCTGTCCCTACTGCTCGCTGATGCCGTGCTCCCATGCTACCCTGGCCTGCTCTTCCTTCCCACCACTTACTGGCTGGGACACTTTACGATGCAATGGGCGGTGTTTGTCATCATCTTCAATTATCATCCCCTCCTCATTCTCCATGTTTGGCAGCCGGGAGTGGTAAGGTTTGGGGGGTAGAGCAGGAGGGTCCATGGTGTCCTGAGGAATGACTCCAGATGGAGCAGAGTGGCTTCGGCATGGCTGGGATTTGAGCGACTCTAGGACATCAGGCTCAGAGAGACTGTACCTGACAGGGAGGTAGGGTGTCTCTAGATCTTCATCAGTGTTCCAGGCCTGGCTGGGGACAGAATCCATGGTGTCTGTGCGAGGAGGTGGTTCAGAAGAATGTCCAAAATTACTCTCGCTCAAGGAAGAGACACCGCTGCTTGCACTGCCGGATAAAGTGGAGTTACTTCCATCTAGACCAGACTGCGGACTGGTGGGTGATGCAGGGATAGGATGAAGAGGGGACTGTTTGGAGAAAAACAGATCCAGGTTAAAATTGACAAAGGAGGCGACACTGCATCCTGTGTGTTCCACATTTCAGCTTTTGACAGCGATGTTAACAACAGTGCAGTTCCATTTGTGTTCAAAATGTCACTGATTACTGGTTTGTATGTGCCCTCCCCTGACTTGCATGGAAGTGCCTCTTGTGGGCTGACAAGTGCACTGAACAACACCAGAGCTGTCAAACAAATTGTAGCTAAGCTGATAATCGGGGTGCCCGAAATCACAGCATATGATGCAAAGAAGGAAAGGGGAAGGGCCTCCACCACGTGTAAGTTATTTCTATAGAATTTTCCACTCTGGAACAGGTTATGAGCTTTCAGTGGATTTTCTCATCTGTCATTTACTAGCAGGTAAAAAAATAGCGTTTCTATATTCAAAAGCTGCTTGGTGGGAGTGAAGGAGGGGGGGGTTCCTTCAGGAGCCTATTATTATCCTTCTACATCCCTCTTTGCTTGCCTGTCGCTTCCTTTTTACCTTGCGCAGCGTTCGTGCAGGCAGTGCTGGAGGAGCATCACTGAGCTGGTGATGGAAGGCATCAAAGTGCAGTGAGTAGTGTCCTGGAATGAGACAAGGATCAGAAACGCAGACTTGTGCTGCCTCATTGCAGCGAGAGAGCTGGGGTTTTAGGCTCTATAATGCTGGGTAACAGATCCAAATGCTGACAGCTCCACCCCAGCCTAGGGCTTCCTTTCTGAGATAACCACGGAGTGCATCTGTCACATCACAATATATTAACGAGAAGTTCAGTGCAGTGATGGATTTCCACTCATCCCTTTTATCAAGGATCTCATGGCAAGGCAACAGGCTCATAAACAATGAACATCTGAAGTTTCATTTAATAGCTTTGTAACCTTAAATTACGGCTGAAGATGGTCATTGGCAAGAAGCCAGGCCAAGCTTCAACACTCACACACCTATTTCTAGTCCCAAAATACACACAAGTCCATATCTATCCTAGGAGACCAGGAAAGACTTTGGGGTTTTGCTTCTGTTTTTATGGGGAACAAAAAGGCTAAGGTCAGCTTTCAGGTGGTCTAGTTGTATGTGTGCATGACTGCAGGCATTATGCAGCAGGCCTACTGGGCATTTCCTTACCATGGGGCAGGCTTCGGGGAGGTACTGGTGGGGCCAAGATGCTCCCAACGTGGGCAGACAGGAATGGCAGGGCCTCTCTGGTTCCGCTGTCTAGGCTCCAGCTACTGGGTGCTGCTGGCACAGCTGAAGGATGGAAACAGATTTATCTTGGGTAACATAACAGGGAGTTTGTGGGGCCGGAAGGAGTGGCGTTCCGGTGTGCTCTTCAGCAGTAGAGAGGCAGTCTCAGGACTTGGTGAATGGTAGGATTGACAGCGCAGGAAGACATCGTCTAGTCTACCGTGTGTTAAGTTTATAGGTTGCTTTGTTAAGGAAGCGGGAGTTAGGTGGTTGTAGTGTTAGTCTGCCCCTCTCCCCTCCATGACCCCCTTGGCTCTTTCCTAGCAAATTCGAAAAGCAGTAGGTTTTTTTTTTTTTTTTTTTTTTTGTTTGTTTTGTTTTTTTTTTTTTTTAAAACAGTGAGTAAATAAAAATGAAATCTCACTGATGGAATGGCAGCTGGATCTCAGTTGTGAGCTGTTCTGCTTGGTGGTAAATGATGACAGAGCAGAAGGGAACATGTGGCAGAAGCCTCACGAAACACAGGAAGGCCTGTTGCTGCACTACAGTGGCTAAGTGAAGACCAAATAAAGGACGTGAGGGAAATTACACCTCAACCTGTTACAAAAGAAATCACAACTTTAAAGCCCTAGTTTACTAGCTACAGAGTTGATAAAAAATGTTGATGACAAAATAATTAAAGACAGCAGTTTGGACTGCTTATATTATAAAGTCACCTGAGGACAGCAAGTCTTTGTTGATCGGGAAGGATAGAGAGAGTATGATCTTCGTAACTTTGGTTTTTCATAGACATAAAAGCTGCTTCTTTCTATCATGAACGTTTTTCAAGATCTTGCGAAATCTGTCAACCTTAAACATGATTAAAATGCACCTTTCTTTCTTCCAAAGACACTGCAAGACTTGATTCATTCTGAGAAGACAGACATGCAGTAAGCATATGTCTTTTTAAAAACAAATAAGCAATTTCTTCAGATTAGTAAAGAAAAGAAAAAAGGAAAAACCAAGTAATTCTGTGAGCCTACCAAAGAAAAGTGAAATAAAAATAGCTTTTTCCATCTTCAGTTTGGAAAATGGAAGCCTAGAGAAATAAACATGGAGTTTGACATCTGTAGAGGATTTCTCCTTAATTAAAATGCCTGCAGCCATTTTTGGTGCATTTCTTTTCTAAATGATTTTCAAAGGTTTCTTTGGTTTGTTTTTTTTTTTCCTTCGCCTCAGTTCATGAGTTAGCATGAACACAGGCTCCCCAAGACCTAAAATTCCCTAGAGTAAAAAAGATCAAAGTGACAGCTTTGCAAGATGGAACAAAATCCGTAAAAATATAAATGTTGTTTTTTTTGAGACACCCTCAAACTGAGAAAGGCATAAAAAGAAGATACAACGAATCTTGACAGAGACCCAGTTCAGACCAAGGGCTACATCTCAACACAGGTCATGTGGCTTCAGATGAATTTTCTGAGCACCCTTGCTCATGGCTGTACACATACCAGAGTACTCTGCTTCGCACTACTGCAGTTGGTGTCAAAAGGCTAAGTCAGAGGGGGAAGATGCATAGCAATGCCAGCCACACTAGTCTCTCCTGCAGTATGTCAGCATCAAGTGAAAAAGGACAGAACAGAACCAGATTTGCTTGGCCTGTGAAAGGATTGTTGGGTTTGCTTTGGCTTTTTTTTTTAAACACCGAGATGCAGTAGAAGAATGTGAAGAACATGGCACCCCAGTGCATAATGCATTTATACTTTCTCAGTGTTCCCTCATTCACGGTCTTTTGAGTATTTAGGAGCGCTGGAAATCATCCTGAGGTCAGACGGTTTTTGACAGTGGCTGCTGCCTTTTAAACCCAGTGTTTTATCCAAATTGCTTCAGGGAAGAACCCACCTAGGGAGCTCCTAGTGCTCTGTCCCAGCCCATCTCTCTCCAGAACAGTGTTCAGTGGCTCAGTGGCCAAGTTTAATTAGCAGGGAAGCTGCATTTGAACCATTCCGCTCTGGGTGATTGATGTCATACTGCTGTCACTAAGAATTGCTGAGCAGAGGTTCTGACATGGCAAGGAAGGTTGGGTGGGTAAATTCATGGAGCATGACTGTTAACAAAACCCAAGGCAGATGGCATCCTGACTTACAGAGAATGATCAGGGTTTAAGGGCTGCAAAAAACCACCTGTAACTGCATTTACGCGGCCAACCTGGCCAAAGAGCTGGGATTCCTGTCCCACCGTCCAGTAAGAACAATTACTGAGCATCACCTGTGTCTTTCATGGCTCCTTTGGGCCTCTGGAGGGGATTCTGGCTGTGATCCCCTTCTCTTTGTGCTGTATACTACACTCTTGCATAGTACCACCCACAAATACAGATTCACATATTTTTCCTAGATGGGTAATAAGTAGTTATCTACCTTCCTTTTCCAGATTGTTCTGTCCAGCATAAAGATCTCGCCACCTCTATGTTATGTTCAGTTCAGACTAACACAGCTAATATGGAGCTCTTCATCCCTCACCCCCTAGTCTTAACTCTCTGTTGTCATTGTTCGTTACTATCACTAAGTCATCCTTCTGCCATGTACTCAGAACCGTACATTGGCTTCAATCGGGACTGCTCTGTATGGCTGTCACATTGTTGAAGTACTGTGTTCTGATTTTCTATAAGTTCTAGGATAAAATCTGGATTTTTTTTTTTTTTTCCTCAAAAAGATCCAATTTTGTTCAGACACAGCTATTGAAACAAAAATACTGCTAGAGGTCTAATGGAGTGCATTTTGTCAGTCAGACTAGAGAACTGCGATGGTCTTTCCTGGCCTTAATTAAGATACTGTTTTTCCAAGCCATACACGACTGTTGCTTGCTTAGGTGGCCTCATCTCAGATTTTGACTCAAGAATTTTGCCCACTTCTTTTCCAGAGTGCTGCATTTCAGATCATTTTTTGAGCCCATCGCTTTGTCCATGGCACCCCTTTCACCAGCTCCTCCTTTTCTGTTAAACCAAACTCTCTTCTTTCATGCTTTCTGTAGGGGCTCTGCCTACTTTTTCAAAGTAGTGAGTTAAAAAAGCATATGTTCCTAATGATAAATAAATATAAAAACTACCTCAGAGAGGAATCAGAAGAAATGTTTATATTCTGAACAATAAATGCCTATTAAAAAAAGCAGTATATCTCATTATTTAAAAATACAATCCAAATCTTGTAGTCTTCTTTCAGATAACTTCTCATTTGCTGCTTTGGAAGTTTTGCTTGATAAAGGCTGCAGGATTCGTTTCAATGACAAAAAGCTAAACTCAGAGAGCTTTCTGAAATAGAGGGGTTTGCGCAACTTCAACCTTCTGTGAACGATCTGAAATGACTACAGGTTGGCAGAAGGCCCAGTTAATTAAACTGTTAATTAAAAAAATGTGAGAGAATGCACTCTGCCAGGAAATGTAGAAGCCCATTCGTTACGTGCTGTAGCATAACCAGAGTAATAATATTTTAGAAAGCATGCATGCTAACCAGGAACAAGAGTACCTTTCTCAGCCACAGACAGGTTGGGATCACTGCAAGGTTTGCATGGTCCAATCATTTGCTGCATCAAGGCGCGCTGAAAATTTGGAGGCTAAGGGAGAAGAAAGTTAGCACAGAAAAGTGTGTGTGAGTTACAGAGTTACAGAACAGCTGGTGCAGAACCCTGGGGCTTTCAGTTCACTTTTTTTAAACAAAGTTTTTAAACTAAAGGAGTCATTGGAACCTTAGGCTGTGTGTATATTAGCAAGTACTGCAGTGCAATCCTAGTGGGTCTGTAGAGTGTAACAGTGCTGAGGACCCACAGCTCATGCTGCTTGTGTTCTCCTCTTGAGGAGTTACTTCAGACTAGCTCTGGACTGTGACCCTTAGCAGCTTGAAGGCATCTGTGCCCTTCTGGAGCTTACCTTATGCTTTGGTTTCCTGTGGAAGAACTGAGTTTCCATGCTCTGAGACAGTTCTCTGGTGTGAACTGAAGGGCAGTAAGTGAGCACGATCAGGAGATTCCCTTCAGAAGTGCATGCCAGGGCCAGATTAACATGTTTACATGTAGACACACCCTAAATTTCTCAATTTGTCCTGAGAAAGTAGTAGACACGGACACAGATTGTTTGGACACCCTGTACTGGTATGTTATTTCAGCTTCTCATGGTTTTTGGTATCACCATAAAGCTGTTTAGAATCAGCTTTGAGGCTAGACTGCAGGATGGCCATGGTTCTATAAAAATGAATAAATAAAATGGTCTGACTACCGGCAGCAGACCAGGGCTCATAGCATAAAGCTGGGAAGTAAGAAGAGTCCATTTTCACAGGGCGTATCTGCAGTTTTAACAGTCATTACAATCTGTATCACCTGACTACCAAAGTGGGTGGCTCTGGGGGGTGATTAGTCTGTAAAGTTCTGCGTTGCCTCTGAAAATCATCCTAAGCAAGTTGTTGTGCTTTCCAAAAATAAAAAGGGAAGCTTTAAAGTGGTCAAAAATAGTAAAAATAAAGTCACAGTTTCAGGTGGTTGAACTGACATAAAAGAAATTAGATCTGCTACCTGTCCGTTTTCCATGATAGCTGCGGGATACATGGCGCTGCTAGGTCGGTCCCGATGGGCTGGCAGCAACATCATCATCTCCCGAGAGTGGCGGTACTTATCTGGTAGAGAGGGAGAGCCTGTAAACAAGTGAGAGTAATCACGTACACGTGACAAACAACAGCCATGTCTCCGCATGCCCAGTGATCTAGTCCTCCTTTGCGATTTGTTCAGACAGATGATCTTACAGGACTCAAGAAAACACGGTGCTGAGCCCACTAAGCAGCTGACTGTTGGTGGGGTGCGTAGCATGAGGATGAAACAAGAACTGGCTTGTTATATACAATCAAGGATATACCATGTAAGGTGTGTAAGATGTACGTGTCCCTAGCTCTGTCTTGCAAAGCGCTTCTTCTTAAAACAAACAAACAAAAAAGTGGGCATCTGTGTGGAGTCTGCTGGAGCTGTGCTGTACAGTGCCTAATGCTCCCTTGCCCCATAAAGCATTGTAGAGTTAGAATTGCCATAAAAAATTGTGCATTTTAGGACTCAATGTGGAAGAATGGGATAAAAGCTTGAGATGCCCCATTCAGTTAAAGCAGGAAGCTATGGGAAGCTACTTCGTTCCTCAGTTCTGGCAGAGAGAGTCTGAGGTGTTGCTGTTTAGTTGCTGATACCGTGGTTAGCTTCCTCTTTGTTAAAGAAAAACAAAAACCAATAATAAACAGAATTTTCTACAAATGTGGGCAGTACTTTGCTTATAATGCCACTGGCTAATGTCTGTTTGAGCGCGTCAGTATACTGAGCCATTTTATGACAACAGGATGTTTACCAATGCATAGAGTTATAAAGTAGGGATATACTTGACTTAACTATTAGTTATCTGTGTAGCTGTCATTGAAGATATTGGGGTATTTAATGTAAACAGCTTCCTGGTGCATGGAATTATTTGGGACTCATGTCCTTCAAGATGAGTGCCACATAGCAATATGCCTTCTGATACACAACAGCTGACAATGGATTTGCCTGAAGAATGATTCCCATTAGTGACTTCCTAAAGTCTGATACTACTCAATACATGCATCCCTTAGGATGCACGATACTGGGCAGGAATTGATGTTCTGAAGCTGCTGGAGTGAGCTTTAATTTGCACTGATTGTTTCATTGCGTCACAAACACGCACTTAACAGATGGCAGCACACAGCGCATTGCAGAGCCATGCCGGCTTTTGGGGAATACATGCCCCCTTTTGCAAACTTTCCACAACCACACACATTACCTGAACAGCACTCCAACGTATGAGCAAAGGCATTGGTGCTGGCTAATGCAGCTTTTACCCCAGCAAAAGCGAACATGCAGTTTTGGGGACTGATATTCAGCACATGGTGGAAGGAACAATGTGTCCAGCAGAATGCAGGATAAGGTCCTACAATTGCAACAATTCCATCAGGGGTGGCAGGTCCCAGATGAATCTACACCCCCACCCTGACATGAACAGCCGCTGAGTATCTGCATTCTAATTCCGAACTCATTTTCTCCCCAGACATAAAACAGAAACATAATTGGACAACGTTATTTGCTCTTATATACAACAACATCAGCTGGGAAAACACAGCATTAACGCTTTATGCTGAGTCTCTTTTACTCACACATCACAGATAGTCCCGTTTCTGCTTGACAAATGTACAGATGCTGAACTTTCAGGTGTGCCCAGAACTACATCACAGCACAGGCTACACTGTAAACTTTTCCCTTTTACTTATCTTGCCATCCTTTTTTATATCCAAGATGCAGACCACCTCTACGTGCCATCAGTTTCTATGGGATTGTAGTTTCCACAGACCTTGCATTGCATGACCTGAAAAATCCCACATGTATGGTGGCAGAGTCTAGTTTACGAAACAGCTCTGCTGTTTGGTACCCTAAATTTGTAAATAACTGTCGCTATAAAGATTGTTACAGATTATGCCAAGTATCCAGTCTGCAAATAAGTACTGATACCTCTGAATCGGGGGCCACAAAAGGAGTGGCTATAACTGCAGCTTTTATTAATAATCAGGCCTGCTTCTTTGGATAGACAGAGAGCACAATCACTATGGCTCCTTTCAGAGACTGGCAAAACTTAAAGAACAAAGTAAAAAAAAAAAAAAAGCTTTTAAAAGCTTCCAGAGCAGTCAGTGGCCACATGAAACGCTGCAGCATGTATCAGGGCCTATTCCTTTTCACTTGCAGCTTGGTACGCTTGATGTGTGCAGCACTGTATGGACTATTAATGAGCAAGAAAAACCTATGCTGAAGCCAGAGGTAGTTTTTCTTTAGTTATCAAAATGTTAATCCTCTTGTGACAAGTATTAGTTTTAAGGACGGAAACTGAAACCTAATGTAGTTCAATTCCAAACCCAATGAATCTTTTCTCCTGATTCATTGTTTTCATTCCTGTCATGAAAACAGATCACTCCGGCACCAAATCACAACTTTTTTTGCTTTAAAAAGGAAATTTTTAATGTAAGTACATGGGTTCTTGCAAAGTGCTGAATAAGACACTGGGATTGATTTTCTACACTTTAAAAAGGGGGCTGTCTTGAAGAAGCAGCAGGGATGCCTCTCAAGAGGCGAGTCAGCAAGTGTCAAGTGGGAGTTGCTTTTAGAGTGCATCAGAGGACGCCGATTCATTTAAAATGAAATTACTGAAAAAACCTAACCCACTCCTAGCTCTTTTCAGGCCTTTTTGCACTACAATTGCTGCTTAACAAACATTGGTTTACATAATCTTTTAACTCCAGTAAGGTTAGGACAGTGCCTCATGAGTCACCTCAAATGAAGCCAAGACAACCTCTGAATTTCTTAATTGATCCTCCATGCACGAACACTTGCTTTCTGTATAGGGAAGAAGCTACACAAGGGTGAAGCCAGGTAAAAACTGAAAGATACATACTTGTTAATCTGAAAAACAGAGTAACTAGTATTGTCTTTATTGTTAGCAACAGAATTAGAAAATTCTTACTGTATTCTGATTACAATTCTGTTGAAGACCTTTGCTCTAACTTGTGTAAGATTTGCTGCTTTAATCTGCTGTTCAGTGATATGATCAAATCATTAATCTACTGTCTTTTACACAAAATGTTGGATAAATGGCTTTATTATTTTCTTTTGACAAGCCAAATAATTTGCTTGTGTTGCTGTTTTAAAGATCAATGAAAGGGTCATTTTTTGGAAAAGGAGAATTAGAAATCAGATTTAAATTCCTCCTGGATGCTTAATACAAATGGTCATGGGTTTCTTTGGCCACTAATGGAACTATTTATATTATAAAGATACCTGTCTCCTCAGAACAGTGCTACTAGCCGAGCTCCAGAAGGGACTCTGCAGTTAAGCAGAGAAGGTGGTCTGAGTATCTGGATAATGGGATAGTGGTTTTTCACCTCTACATTAACGTTTGAATCAATGAGAGAAGCGTTTAAACATCTGGCAAAAACCTAGAAATCCTAAATAACCACGCTCAGGTTAAAGCCACAGGTGACAAAGATGCTAAGTTGATAAATTTAGGTGGCCTGTCCGAAATAAATTGTGGGCCTTTGTATACTTCCCATCTGAAAAGTGGTTAACTGTAGCATCGTGACTATCGTAGCTTAGTTGGCAGTCTCAGCAGAAAGGCCACGGTTTGGATGGGTCATGGTGACTGAACTATGCTCTCACCTCTAGAGGTGGTCCCTCCAGGACAGAGATGAGGCACATTGGTGGGGGCAGCGTGGGGAAGCTTGCACGGCTGCCGCCCATGCTGTATCTGTTCTGTGGATAAATAGAGGGCTTCAGCCTCCAGTGTTGTCAATCCAGCACCTTTCACCAGCACTAAATTAAAAAGAATATAAATAACTACCAAAAAAAAAAAAAAAAAAAAAAAAAAAAAGAAAAAAAAAGGATAGAGGTGCATTGGCAGAGCTGCACATGTAATGTTTGTGAAGTACCTTGCTCTGGCCAATGATACTGGTCTCAAATTTTCACAAGCATCAAATTCACCCAATTAAAAAACAAAGCAAAAGGAAAAATCACCAAGGAGGTAAACAAAGCTGTATTACCACAGTGGAACTCAAGTGTAAGGGCTTTTTCTCATTACAAACAACTCCATTCCAGACAGCGGTGGTGTAATAACCAGAATACTGACTTGCACACTGTAAGACGGAGAGAGAATCTGGGACTTTACTAGAAGTGAAATCCCATAATCAGTGGATAACGTCTGAATGCTGTGCTCACCTAACTTAAAAGTGAACATCACTAGCAGAGAAGAAATGTTGTGTCATAGGCTAGCAAAACATGTTACTGAGAGTGAAGAATAGATATATATATAAAAAAGTATTTTTCCAAAATTATTCTTTTATTGTTTCCTCATTTGTGGTCTTTTACACTGCTTAGTTCTCGTCTCTGGGAGGTGCTGTTGGCTCATCCCTCAGCACCATACCCTGTGTAGCATTCATCACTTTGGTTCCTAAGCAACAGCAAAGAATACAGTACAGGGGGAAGCTGGCGATGCTGTGAAGTCATCAAGCTCAGAAAGACTGGCACAGCCTGTCACTGTGAGCACTGCACTTTTAAAGAGGAAAATAGCCTGAAACACTATGAGCACCAAAACCCCTCAGATCCTCCAGAAGATTCAGACCTCGCATGCCAGTTGAGGCACATCCATTTAAGGATGTCTTCCTGACATGACAGCCCTGTACTCGGTCACATCTTCCCTTTCCTGTGACGCCAGTTTCATCTGGTTACTTTACTATTTGAATTATAATTATTTTCCTTCCAGCCCTTCGTAATTAGTGAAGCTATTTGCCTTTATTTGCAGATGTCCACTTCTCACCTTCTTACGCCATCTGATCCTTCAATTAAATCACTTTGATGTAACAACAGCCAGCCAGTTAAGATTTTACTGCAAGATTGAGCAAAAAAAACCCCAAGCTGGCCCGCGAGAAAGGGCCCTTCTCTGTATTCTCTGTCCATAAGGAGACATACAGCTCCCCTGTATGGGAAAAAGGGGTAAGATTTAAGTATCAGCTTCTATCTCTCACTGTATCCTGGATACCTTCTTCAGTCGCCTGTGAAAAGAGGTTTAGAAATTTGTGAACCTGCAACTGAGAATCCAAAATGAGAGGGGAAAAAAAACTTGAATAGAAGTTACCAAAGTCAGGAGATTGCATAGAGTGGTTTTGCTTCAGCTCTGAGGCTGGGGAAGAAAATCATTAGCCGTATCAAGACCAGCTACTGTAACAGCAAAGGCAATACAAGTACCCCTACAGTCTGTTTTTACGTTTTTCCTTTCTTCAAGAATTTCCCAGCAGGGAAGCCGTTCTTTAACTCCAGTACTTAAAATTCATATCTTTCAGCATTCATCATATACATATGCTTTTGTGTACACACATTTCTGCTAAATTGCCTCAGCTTCTTTTTTGTGCCATAATTTCATTAAATGTGTAAAATGATTTTTTTTTTTGCCTTTGTCTTCATGATCTGTCTCTTTTAAGTACTGTACTAAAGACTGTTCTTGTTTTCCTCTAGATTGCCTGCCACAGTTTTGTGGCGGAACAATGGAAATCATTATGAAATTCAACTGCCTGAAACCAGCATGCATTAGAGATACATTCCAAATACTGCTGAAAAAAATGATTAAATCCATTTCTGGAGAAAGAAAAACATTTTTTAAGAAATAATTTTTGAAGAGGCATTTGCAGCTCCAAACGAGAAACAGTGGTATATTTCAGTGTAAGTGGTCTTTCACCCAGAAGTCGACAAGGTTGCCAGGTTTAGGAGAGCCTGCAGGTCCAGTTTACCCTTCACTGGGGTCCGGCCGTTCTTACCTCGAGCGCTGGAAGGGGCAGAGTTAATCATCTGGGACGGTGCCGAGTGAGTAGAGCTCAGGCTTGAGGTGGAAGGGCTAGCCTGGGACGAGGATAAAACAGAGACGTTGGTGACTGAGCCTTGGTACCTGGAGTTAGGGTAAACAAGCTGCAGGAGGCAGAGAAATTGTCAAGAGAGGACTGAGTGGTTCAGTGTGTTAGATATTTACCTGTCTCCGATCACCCAGTGCAGCCTCTGTCTAGGAAACAGCTTCAGTGCAGGCCACTACCAATCTGCACTCAGGACCACGGAACTCATTTTACCCTCCCACAAACCAACATCAATACTAACTGTGTATGTTGAGCAGGTGAGATAAATAACATGCCAACTAAAATCTCACTTTCCAAAAGGAATGCTGTGATCTTGGACCACAGTAGCAACTTTCACTGTACAAATACAGATTTCTTCCCAAAGTAAACCTAGCTGAATTACTCCGTCATCGTTCTTGAACAATGTTAGATTCTTATTCCGTTCTTTGAGAAAAGCATCACAGGACAGATCCCAGCATGTGTATAGGTAAAGCGTACTGCTCCTAGGCATAACCCTCCAGAGCACGTTCAGCGCTGTGTCTAACACCCGCTCCTGGCTGTGCTGGAGCTGTACCTGCATGTGGTACATATCCTCAGCCGCCTCCCCCACAGAACTGTCTGTAAGGATGACCAGGTTCCCTGTTTCGCTGGAGGTGTGGGACGACAGAGAGGATGATGAGTGTCGGACTGAACCAAGCAAGTTCAGTGGGCTGGAATAAAAAGAGAGACAGAACAAGGGCATCATTATGTTTTGGACCTGCATTTTAATTTGTGAAGTCTGATTTTTTCCAAGCCAATAAGTACCTGCAGTTACCTACTGCTTTAGGTCACCTCTTTTGAGTGCCAAACACTTTTGAAAAATCAGGCTGAATAAGCCTAAACAAGTCCATAAATGTGAGTAAATATGAAGGAAGAAACAGTAAGACTACATGTAAGACAACACAGTACATAGGATGTAGAATTTCAGAATCTAAAACCAGGTTAACATTATGTCATGATGCTGGGTGCATATTTGTTTTGTTTATAACAGAACATTCTGAAATCACTCTCATTTTTAATGCTGATGTATGATGAGTGGGAGCAGCTTAAAAAAAAGATTCCAAAGGAAGCCAAACACAAGACACAAAGGTCAAAATACAGTTTTCCTTATTGCATCTGTTGGACCTCAGCATTACCATTGAAGGCAACTTTGTAGCTGACAATAAATTAATATAGCCCAGCTGGTGTGCAGGCTGCACTCTGATGTCATTCATGAAATTATTTTTTTTCCTCGTCACTCTGAATCACATACACAAGTACGCATTTTGTACCCTGTAGAATCTCCCTGGTTTGCCCTAAGAACTGAGAATGGCTTTACAAAGTGAGGAGGTTTGAGGAAAAAAAAATTAGCAGCCAGACACTATCAACTGCCAAGCCACTAAAGTAGTATAAGAGCTACTAAAATTTAACAGTAAAAAGATTGTCACCATCCTGGATTCATGTACTAAAGACCAAGTTTCTGCAGCTTTTCATGCCAGGCTTTAAAAACAGCTAAGCTATGTAGACCCACCAAGACAAATAAACAGGGAAGAACAATTCTTACCTTCCGTGACATTGCTGTCACTGTTTTTCGTACTGGCACAGATATGTACATTTTCAAATAAGCAATTTTGGCTGGATACAAAATCACTGTTTTGCCTTGAAAATCCCAATTTTTAGCCTCAATCATTATCTCACTTTTTATAGATGGGTATTCAGCTTGAATAAGGATCCACATTTTCAGATGTTTCTGCGAAGGCTGAGCCATTTTTTGGTATTCTGATCAGAACACCTTGGCAGCCTTTCTTGTATTTGGGTTCCGATTTGATCAGAATTATAAAAAACAATGACATGAACATTTTTTATCCTTAAAAATGGGTACATACAGAGTTGGGTTCTAAAACAAGCGATAAAACTTTCCTTTTATGGTAGATAAGGACCCATTTATTTGCTGTTTGCATAACAGAAGTTGTAACCTCCGAAGTCAGAGTGAATCTGAAGATCGGAGTGGCAGATGTACATTCCTGCCTCTAGAGTAAGTAAAGGGATGGAGTAACACCTGGAGGTGTTTAGCATTTGCTGCAAATTGGATTTCTCAACTTTTTGATTCCAATCCTCAATCAAACTTTAATAATTAGCACTGACTGAAGACAAAAGGCACTTCTGCCAAAACTCCTCCTGCTCCTCCTGCAGTACTGTTAACCACTTCCTAGGTCCTTGAACCTCAATGCAGCTGTGTGCAGAGATCCTAGATACATCAGTAGAAAAAACAATGGGGTACCTGTGTCGATGCACCAGCTTTATGCTCTCTGGGCTCATAGGTCCATGCGAAACCAGAACGTTGCTGCGTGGTGTACTCGCACCAGAACAGGCCGGACTCAGCTTATCCAAACCAGGTAGCTCCTGCAAAGGAAACATACTTCAGCTAAGTTGGTCATGGAAAATTACAAGTTTTCTTCTGTGGAAAACCGTGATCTGTTTCCGTGTTCTTTACAGTTATCTTCAGTTATCCTGTGTTTCCACAGGATAAAGAGCTTCAGTGCTTTACAACCCTATTCTCCGTTTATTTCCAAAGTCACTTTTTTCTAGCCACTTTTTCAGGAATTTGGGAGGAAAATCGAGGCATAGTGTGGCCCAAATGACAGCCACCTACATGTTTCAAAAAAGAAATGTTGACTAAAAAATACAGATCTTGTCCAAACTCTCAAGAATGGTAGTGAACTCAGACTTGCAACTGTGACGTGTACAGATCTCATCTGTTTTGAAAGAGAACGACTGTATTTTAAAATTCTGGTGCTGTTATTTCTGGCCATCCTTGCATAGCGTTCACTCCTAAGAATGGAGGAAAAAGCCTTCAAGTTAGAACCTACTTTAGAAAATACGTACTCCAGGGTGGAAAGTGCTAACACACATATTTCAAATAATACTTCTCCATTATACAAAGATATCCTTTAGTTGTGATAATGTTCAAGATAGTGTCTATGTATCCATAAAGATTTCACTATACCGCGAAGAGGAGAATGCACTGTAAGTTTCTGAGACCCATCTGGCAAAGAGGTCTTAAGTACAGTTGTCATGGAATACTAATGTACAGGAAAGCACACATAGAAGGAAAGGTGTCATTCACAGAGGATGATATTTGTACTTCTGATGTATAAGGGGTGGTGTGAACCATGCTCTGGAGACAGTTCCATTGGCTGTGTTGGAACTATAGACCCATAATAGCGTATATCCTGATCAGTAGGAATTTCTGTTGCTGCCTGTATAAAAACACTTCTGGAGGGCCTGATCCATGTCATGCTATTCCAAATTGCAGCAGTTCTTTTGAAAAGCTCAGCACCTAATGTTGTCTGTTAATTTTTATTCCTCTGTTTTACATCATTTTATGCTATGCAATGGACAGTAACTGAGAATTAAGCTTTACAATAGTTTTGTGATACAATAAAGAACATACAAATATGAAAAATTCTAGTTTAAGTTAAAGGCTAAATCAACAGATTTACTAGGACTTCCTTCTTGCAGAAAAAAACCAAGAATTCTTTTGATAATTTGGCTATCCAGTAGGTTCAAACAATGCCGTATCAGCCCAGTTCTTTTGTGAACCTTACTGCAACTGATAGAAGTTTAATCATAACTCTGAATGATTAAAAATGGGAAAAATTACTATTGGCCTACATGGTACAGACTGGATCGCATCATCTGGAACTGGTCTATCAGTTTCTTATGCAGAGGACGCATTTCTGGGTGTACAAATTTCTCATGGACTGCCAGTCCCACTCCTAGGACATGTACCTGTTAAAAAGAAAACATAACATCACAAAGCCAGATGAATCGTGTCTGAGAGAACACAAGCCTGTCCCACAGTTCTGTCAATGTGCAAGCAAGAACGTAAAATACACCACTGTTCATTTACAAGGCTGCTGCTAATTAAGCAAGCCTAGGAGACCTGGCAAGTTCACATTACTTCAACAAGTACTTTAAGTGTGCGACGAGTACATTTATGTCACGTTTGATTACTTTTGTTAAGAGCTAACTGTAAAAAATTACCAGATTGATTCTCTCTCCAGAGTGAAGAGCATTAGGTCCTCACACAGATAATTCACTGTGACAAAGAAAATTCCTTCCACCCAGTGTCAGAGAAGGGGTCAAAGTTGCCACCAGAGATTTCTACAAGGAGTTTGTGATAACTGAGCTGAACAGTGGCAGTGTGGCATGCATAGTCACTCCTTTGGTTGCTCATTTAATTTTAAAGGTCACTTTTTCAAAGGTCAAACATACAATATTAGTGATTGAATGAGATTATATAAGCTCTCAGAGGAAAGAAAATAGTAATGATAGCAGGCTTAAGATGTATATAATTCC